ACCTCTTTATCCCCTTTCTCTCTGCCTCTATAATAGTCGTAATGTGAATATGACTGTTATAGTCATAGTCAATAGACCTTCTCCGCAGTAATTTCTAGACATACCTCAATTCCAAACTCATCAGCTGGTCTCCTGATTTTATGATGATACTCTCCTATTCAGCATCTGTAGCCTGCCTGGAAAGACATATCCAACCATGGAAGTTACTGTTTTTGAGTACATGAGTACAGGAAAAAGAAAACAGATGACTCTTGAACTTATGCAAATATCTTTCCTTGATTTGAAAACTAATTCAGGTCTATTTCCTTTACCAGCTACCAATTCTCACACGACACACAAAATCTTTTTAAAAATCTTTAGCTATATATCCAATTAAGCTGACAGTGACTCAAGGTTTGGAAGCTGCCAGGAAGGCACTGACATCTCCCGCACATAGGTATTTAGCAGAACTAAAATGTAGATTTGTCTCTGCACAAGGAATGTTCAAGTCCAGCTTCTGCTGTGGATGGTACAACTCCTTGAGACCATTCTTTCAGCAAAAACTTAATTTAGTACATTATTATTGAGAGCTGCCACCTCTCTGTGATAAAACAACATTATCGAAAGGTAAACAATGCAAGCAAAATGAAAATGGTTATCTGCCATTTACCTGTGGACAAAAAAGTGTGTAATGAAACTAACAGTACAACTTCCAGTGCGTTGAGCCTCTCAGGGCTGCTCAGAAGCGGAGGGTTAAATGTTCTAGACTGAACCAGTGAATCCAAAGCAAGTCTTCCTCGCCCATTACATGTCTGTGTCTTGCAGGAGAAAATTCATGAGGAGAAGAAAACAGCTTCATATTTTGTGACGGTCTTAGCAAAGATGCTAATAATGCAAAATTAAGGTTGTTGGGTGCTCTTTAATAAGTTGCAGTTATGCAGCTGTAACAGTGTAACCCCAGCTGCTTTGGCTAGGCAAATTTCTCACTGGTTCATCTTGCCACTTCCCTTTTCTCTTAGCAGAACAACGCTTTGCAACAATCCTCCATACCACTCTAGATTTTCCTCACTTCTTAGTCTAATGAAATTTTCTTTTTGAATTTCACCACTGACTCCCCCTTATCCAAAGCCAAATTTTGGATCATGACACAAACTTTCCTCAGAACTTACGGTGATGTTCATGTTAGAACATTTATTTATTCTAGCATTAGACAGTATTTGTCATGGTTGAGATCTAGTGCGCAGCAGACTGTATGAAACTCTCACCGATAAGACACAGTACCTACCCTGGAATGCCTAGAGCTAATAAAGAGTGAGCTAGAAGGTGGAAAAACCACTAGAGATTCAGAGGTAACAGAAGTTGTTCATAAACTTTCCTAAAGTTCAAGGGCATTTAATCTAAACCTACTGGATTTTGACACAAGGTATAAAAAAAAGCTAACAGGAAATATCATGAATCAGAGTAAGAAAAAGATCCTAGAGGGAAGTGAAGGCTAGAAGTAAAAAGTACATTGTATGAGTTAAATTGGTTTTAATGTAGATACATACAGCCTAAGGCAAACCTCTGTATTTGTGTTCAGTGGCTGATGTACAATACGCCACAGATAAAACTCCAGGCATTTCTAATTTCAACATAAGTGACTCCTCATTCAAGAGAAACAAGCAATTATGGTAATAGTGGATTTGAAATTCTCTACCAACAGACTGTTCTTAAAATAAGTATTTTCTAAAAGCATCAACAAATATCCATGGTGAAATACGGGCTGCAGTCAGCAGCCCAAAAACATATTCAGATTCAAATTCAATATCAGTAATTATTTCCATAAAAATAATATTCACAATCTTAATATACATAGGATTTGCATGTGAAAATTTTATATACATTTGGTTTGGGGTATAATTTTTTTATATATATACACACATACATATGTGTACATGTATAGATACATATATACACACACACATATATAAAAATACACCTGTGTATACAGCCAAGTTTAAAGTCCTTACTAAGTATTCATACTGATCACCATCTTTGGAGATATTTAAAACTCACGTGAACAAGGCCCTGAGCAACCTGCTCTAGTTGGTCCTGCTTTGAGTGAGGGGTTGGACCAGAGACCTCCAAAGGCTCTTTCCTATTAGGAAGGAAGTCAAGATCTAGCCCTTCCGGATATACTGTTTCAGTTGCTGTTACCCCGTGTTACTCCATTTTTGGAGTAACATAAAAACCAACATAAAAAACATCTTTTAATTTTTCCTTCAGACAAACAAAGAGCAGAAAATGGAACCAGATGATTAAAAGAAAAAAGGAGAATACTGTAAAATATATCTCCTTTCTGAGAAAAGAGAAAACTGTTCATAAGTTCTCTTCCTCCTTCTGCTACTGCCCTCCTCAGGAAAGATTTATATCAAAGAAGATACATTTCAGCAATAAAATTCATGTTAAGAACAACAGAAAAATATAATACAAAATTCAGCTTAACACTTCTGACAATTAAAAAATAAAAATGAATTAACTTTTGAGACTTATGAAAAAGCCAAAATGGGCATCCTTCTATCGTTCCACCATCTAAAGAATAATTTAAAAATTGATTTTAAGCTCAGCAATTTAAAAAAATTACTATAAATCTTGCCTATTCAAAAACTGCCTACCCAAGCTGTTATCTTTACTTTTAATCTCCTTTTGGGAGGGAATACATTTTGCTTTTTGTTACAGAGGTCTTCATGAATTAGGCCCAAATATACAAACTTATTTTGTTCAAGTGCTCTGATTATGGAATTTAACATGGAGGTCAACAGGTACAAGGTCCAAAAGAAAATAAATTTGCAGGCACATAAATTTATGGTGAAGGAAAGCTATTTGAATAATTTCTCTTACATGAATGTAACCACTTGCATTAATTTTTCTCAAGGCTGCAGACATTAATTCATGTGCTTAATTGTTCAAAGGAGTCATCTGATATAACTACTTGGGCTATTTTCTTGTTTCAAATTAAGAACATTAACACTTCTGAAGGAACAAAGCAAGGTCAAAAACTTTAGATGTTCATTTTCCATGTTCATTATTGCTATATATCTATAAAATAATTTTCAGGATTTTTTTAGACAGTAAACTTTCTGTGAATTCTTTTTCTTGAGCAACAGTATCTTGAAAAACAAAACCAGGATAGCATAACAGAGAAGTTAGATTAAGAAGAACCAGGAGTTGAACAGTCATTTGTCTTGAGGACTCTTAAATAAACCTTCTAAATCAAAAAGATGGGCAGCTATCTGTGTTACATTTTCTTATAGTCCATAAGAAACTTCGGAGTTAAATGAGAAAATACTTTCTGGGTTCTATTCTGTTGTCTACCCTATAGTTCAACTGTCTCAGGTGTCAAGAATTTTCATCTGCAAGTGAGGTCAGATGAGGTCATTATATCATTTAAAACCCAGAAGACAGTGCTGCAGAAGAAGGCGCCCCTTGATATGGAATAATTATTTTTATTATTTGGTATTTTCTCTTCTGTTTAACCAGAGTACTTGTTAATACTAAGTACATACACGCGTATGTGCAAGAGCAAGTATGGGAATACAGTGCAGTAAAAGCCACTAACGCTAAATCCCTTGAGACATCAAAGTTTCAGCACAAATTTCACGGGAGTGATGCAGAGATTCAGCTGTTCAGATTCCTCTTAACCTCTCAGTCCCACAACCTATCTACCACAGCTCTCCCAGCTCAGGGCACCGAACTGGAGAAGGCTTGTCCAGAAGCAAATGAGTGATTGTGACTTTAAAATTCACTCCAGGATATACCCAGGAAAATTTCCTGCCTACCAGCTGTTCCCTGTCCCCTTCAGACCCATACCCTTCACAATCCAGAGCCACTTCTGACCACCATGAACAACTTTCTTCCACCTGAATGGCAGTAAAGTGTACAACTCTCAATCGATTGCAGAGGAGATATTTGACCCCATTCTGAAGTATTTACTGGTCCTTCACGTCCTTTCACGCCACAAAGTCATTTCATTACTCACCAATCATTTTGAAAAAACACAGTTAAAAACTTCTTGAAATATGTGAACAGATGACTCCTGTTTAGTTACCAATCTGGTCAACAACTATATGGAGCCTTAATGATGCACATAAGAAAGAAAGGATCTCTCATAATACTTATAAGCAGCAACTTTCCTTTTAGATTATCAGGAAGACAAAGGATACTATGTAGATTGCCATGAAAAATGCTTCTGATGTCCATAACAATTTAATAATTAAATCACGCCTTTACGTAAAAAAGCAGCAACTCCATTCATGCATCAGTTAAAGTTAATACCCTGAATTTCCCCCTAAACACCTTAACAGCAGATTCTTGTTATTTTTAATAGTTAAACGTTTACTAGGTTAAGAAAAAGACTGAGTAAATTCATACATCTTCACTGAAAATTATAGTCAGCTGACATTTACTGAATCTTGCTTTCCTCCTTCTACATGGTAGCACAGCACACCCCAAACTGCGTATCTAATCATAGGTTACTAAAAATAACCTAATTTAGCTAATGCCAAGAAATAAACCATGGAATGTCAGATTTAGCATTTAAGACTGTATTGTCAGTTATACCACAAATTTCATCTAGGACTGAGAAAAAGCTAGAGACCAAGCCCAGCAGAGGTATAACTGATATATCTACCTAAAACACTCCTCATCATCATTACTGCTGGAGGTGAGGGGAGGGAAGGGAAGGTGGGGGGAGAGAAAAAACATAGCCCTAAATGCCCTCCCTGTTGGCAAATGAGGTGAAAAAAGAAATCATTCACACGTCTAGCTTTCCTATTTAATGTCCATTAAAAAATATGCAAGCAAGACCATGCAGCTCTATTTATATATGATTGCCAATAAACAAAGTTCAGCCTATCAAGAATATTTTTAAAAGATGAAGAAAAATGCACAAGATTTTTTTATAGATCTGGCACATTTTGATAAACAGAATTGGCACAGTCTACAACTAAATGTACATTTTTAATGATTATCTTTTTTTTTACCTCCGGTTTTAGCGCTGAGATCCTGAACGCAGAAAGCTCCAGTGCTGGATACTGCTTGTTTCTTTGCTGATTTTTCTTTTCTTTCCTTTTTTTTTTTTAATTTTTTGATAGTTTAAAGTACAGAAAGATTCCAAGACAGCCTTACCTAGATGAAGAGAATCTGGAGTTCGGACATGACCTCCTAAAATCTTTGGTCAATAAAAGAAAAAAAAAAAAAAAAAAAAAGGAGCAAACAAACAAACAAAAGAGCCCGGTCCCAGTTAGCTCCTCTTAGCATAAAAGTTCAGATTTCACTACTGAGATCATTACTCTATTCTAAGCAGTTTTCCTCAATGTGTGATTCTAACAAAAACACCCTCTGCAGCTGGAGGGAGCCTTAACTAAGCACGAGCTTGTCAAGCTTTTCCCAGTGACTTCTGTCTACTAAATTCAGACTGATGTTTTGTGAAAGGGGCCTCAACAACCAGGCCCAGATTGCCTGAAAAGTATTTCCTGCCTTTGAGAGAGAGGGAGAGGGAGAGAGAGACAGGGAGCGAGCCTGCCTGCCTGCGCCAGGGAGAGGAGAGCGCACAGAGAGGGGGGGAAAGAAAAAAGACGACAAGACCGAGCATTTCAAGACATTCAGCTTAATAGACTGCTGGGCTGTTTCTGTCAAACGGGAAGATCTGTCCTACAGTTACATAATATAAAATTGTTTTCAAACCCCTCCCTCCTGTTCTTTTTTTTCCTTTGAAACAATATTTTATACATCTCTAATGTTCGTGCAAAGATAACCGTTATCCAGAACAACAGGAGAACGTCTCCGAAATGCCTGATCTTTGGCACCAGGTAGTGAGAAACAGGCAGAGAACAACATGGTCTAAACTCAATTAACACATCACATTTACAAATGGTGTAGTGCTATTCTGACGAGCAAATACACACTGCTAGATAGATACCGTTTACACACGTATGCGAAAATTGTATTCCTACTCAAGAGAATAAGCTGGATCTGAGAAAATGAACACTACAGTTTAAACACAGTCATATTGCAGGCAGCGGTATATGTTGCTTTACCTCTTCTGAGAATCCTCCAGAGTCACACAAATCCAGCTCTGCAAAAGCAAAAGGACAGACTCCATCTTGATCATATTAGTATTTTGCTGACATAAAACACTTGTAACTACTTCGTTCCAGTTTGACAGGGTGCCTGAATCACGTCTCCAGAGTAACCCACAGCATCTACATCCTTTGCTCTGTACAAATTTAGTGAATATCATCTGTTTATCTTTTCTGCTTTCTTCTGCCTCCTCTGAATGACTTCCTCTTAGCTGTTCCAGCCTGAGAACTTGGATTACCATTTGGTTTTGATTAAAACCAGACGGACAGCTCTGTAGAATTTTGAGGGTAAGCTAATGGAAATGACTAGTATGGCTTTAATTAGTGTACCAATTAATAATAAATGTTAGCTATTCATATAACATATTCTACTAATAAACACACACAAAAAAAATCTTTGGTCATTGGTCTCATACTTAGGTGAAATAATTTACTCAATTTTTATTTCATTTAATTCAGTGTGAATCATAATGGTAATGACCATGTATGATTTCCAGACTACGGGGTGAAGCCAACCCTTTTTTTCCTTTTCTTTAAAGAAAGAAAGAAGCGTTGTTTTTAAGTTTAATCGTCTTCCCAGGTGGGTCGGTCATAGATAATTTACCTTCTGACAACCCCTTCAGCCGGTGTAAACCTCTTTATTAATTATTGCTCTGAGTAAATGATTTTACTGTTACTGTTCAGGTTATTGATTGGAATCTTTGGCTGATCTTCAGAGGGAGCTATAGAGATGCAGAGGTAAGACACTGCATACGCTATGCTATGCAAAATAGTGCCTGGACATTTAGTGACCAGAAAGTCAGGTCAGCAGGCCTGCCACAACCGGGACAGGATATTTATTCTGAAAGGAGATAGGAAACCTTCGTAATTACTAACTGCTGATACATGAGCCGCTACCGGCCTCCAACAACTGCCTTTTAACTGTTTATATAATGCCTTCATTAGCTCAAGTGAGTCTTCTCGAGGGCATTTCTTCAGTCAAAGAAAAGCCAGCTCTGTAGGACTGTCTCCAGCTCCCACTAATATGGCCATATCTGGAGCTAATTTGTTAAGCTTTAGTTCCTCAGCATGTGGAACTTTGTGCTAAAGTCTGCTAAATTTGCCAAATGTGGTCTTCATTGTTGTACATGTAATTTTATATATGCATTTTTCAACTTTAAAATTACAGTATTAACTTTAAAAGTTAGTTGCAAAGTTATGCAGGCCCAAATGGAAGTGGGTTTGAAATTTTTCCCAGTAGCTTTCATGTACATGGATAGTGGAGGTAGACAACCTTAAGTGGAATGACTTACCAGCCTAACCTCTGCATCTTCAAAGACAGAGGTCTTTGAAGCCCATAAAAGGAAATGGCATATGTGGTGGTAAACTCTGAACAGTCAGAAGTGCAACCCCAGAGGTAAATAACTTTTCAGAATTATTTTTGACTATATTTGGCTAGCCCGAGATCCAAATGTATAACTTTTACTCTACTGTAAAGTGTGATTTATACAATTTTCCTGAAAGATTTACACTTTGGAATTCACTGAATAAATTACACTCTGTGAAGGGACACATTTTATTTGCAATTATGCAATTGCATAAATTGCACAATTTTGAAATTCATTTTTATGGGAATCAAAAAAAACCAAAAAGCCTTTAGTTTCCTTACAGTTAAAATTTACTAAGAATGTTGGTTTTTATAATACCAAAAAAGTGATGAAAAATTGAAACACACTATTCCAAAAAAATAAACAGATATTTATAAGACAGAATTTTAATTAGTTTTTTTCCTAATTATTTTTCTTCAGCTAAACTTCACTTAATGTTCCATTAGGAAGCTTTGATTTTAATAAAATAAGGTTCTTTTTGCAGAAGATGGTCACAGGAATAAGACAAAATAAAAAATGTGTAAGTGAGGACATATTTAAAAGTTATGGAATTATTAGGACATGGTCTGCTCTGTGAAACAGTTTCACAAAGACAACTTGCTTTCAAATATTCTAATGCTTGACGAATAGCTAAAAAAGGGAAAAGAAGGACATCGTAGACAATATCTGTCCATTTCCTGTCTGTCTAAGAAAACTGGGGACAGACTGTCTCTCAGATATCTTTTCCTGCTATCGCATCTACAGAAAGGAGGAGAATAACCACAGTTTGAATACTTTTTCTAAGCTGCTTTAATAAAGCTTTATAATGACAACAATAAAAACCCAGCATATAGCAGTATTTTATGGTGAAAAAAGAAAAGAACGAACACGTGACACCAGAATATCTAAGTCCAAAAATCTTAATAATTCCATTGAGTCTTGCAGAATCAATAGAACTGAAAAAAGTAAATAGAGGAATGGAGGAGTAACGAGGAACAAGGTAATTCACTAATGACACAAGTTAATAGCACTGCTGTACTTCACATGCAGTGATAGAATGCACTTCAGTTGCAGTCAGTCTGACTATGCTAAAATGTTAGAATTTAACTCCTTGCTATTTCTGAGCTTAAATCAAACACAAAGATGGTCTTTTTTGTTGGTACCTCTGTAGATCAGAAAACATATGGCTCAAAGCTAGGCCATATAAATCAGGTATTCAAACAACTCCAGTTTCTGTTTAGGTAATGTTTGATGAAGAATTATAATATTCTATTATTATTATAACTATATTTTATTTCTAAAATAATTATAAAATGAGAATAATGTAGAAAAAATTATCATCATCATAATGTTGTTTATCCATAAATATAAAATATTTTTGTCATACTAATATAAGCTGAGTACACTCCATGACATATTATGGAAAGAGAAACTAATAATATGCTATTTATATGATCCTGTGTAAAATGAACTACCAAAACAATTCAAAAACTAAGAAAAATTCGAAGTCTTCAGGCAATTTCTGTTGTAGCTGTACATAGATATTAGTATAATGCGGATATGGATATTTTCAGCAGCTCTTCATTTGCCTGAAGATATGACTGTTCTTTCTAGACCTAGAACTACAAATCATGGTAGGGCTCTTCCAAAACTCGGTTCTTGCTCAGTCAACTCCCTACATAAATCAATGAGAATTTGTCTGAGTTATGCAGTTGGTTTACAGAAAATCTTTAACACACAATATAGTTATGGTTTATTGCATGCAAAATTCAAACTTCTTCAGTGAAAAAGAATCATCAGGGTTTGTGGACTGACCCAATCTGTATTCATGCTTAAAAAGCAATCCTGCTGAGAAAGTAATGTGTATTTAAAAAAAAAAGAAAAAAAAAAAGAAAAAAAAAGAAGAGCACCCAAAGCCTTACTCTCATTTGTCTGAAGCAATAGAAGTCACCATATGCCTCATAGAAAAACATGAAAGCTTTTGCTGACACCTTCCTTTTATTTTTTTTCCCCCTAAAGAGTGTGGTTAAACCTGAGATATTTCCCCTAATGATGGAAATATAAGAAAGAGAAGATCTATTTTCTTTAAATACACCTGGAAACTGCTGAAAGTACAGCAAGACAGAGGCAGACAGCTCTATTTTTTTACCATTTTCAAAGTTTCAATATTTGCTTTTGCTTCACGGTAGAATTACCTGATTTCATGAAGTATTTCATACTTTTGCATTTCATACTGTATGAAATATATTATTTTTTTCATGTCAGGACATTTAATGCAGGAGTTTTGGATTTGATGAAATCATTATGGATAAAACACAAGAGGGAGCAAGGGAAAGAAAGGGAAA